TATTTATTTATTTATTTATTTATTTATTTATTTATTTATATAAGTTGATGTAATTGTCATATCAGCCTTCATTACACATCACTAAAGAAGAGTTGCTTTCAGATTTACTACAAATAATTTATTGATGAATCATTCAGTATGTTTACCTAAGCGTTCACAATACTCTTCATAAAATGATGCGGTATCGAAAGCTATAAACTGCGATACAACTGAATAAGTGATGAGTTGGAAGTGCGATGAATAATCCAACTTTTGCATGTATGTGTGTGGTCTTCGAAGACAGACTGTAAGCATAACGAAAATACGAAACAGCTAAGTGGTGGTGCAAATAGGATTGGATTTCTGAGTTTTTCACTATCGAAGAAATTGCTGCAACTTTGAAATTTGAACAAATATTTACCAAAATAGCATTCTTTATTTCATACGAGCGAATGTATGGAACCATTTTCGGACATCGTAACACATCTAAGCTTGTATATTTCGTTGGTAGTGTACATATGCAGCTGAGTGATATGGAAATGAATATCGCCCACAAAAATCCGAAAATCACAGACCATCAACGTTTTTGTATTTAAACTTATCATCATCTGTGCATAATTGATCTACAATAGAGCAACAGTGACACATTGCAAGCTTCCGTTTTTAGCGAACTATCACTTCATGGGTTTCATCATGATGAGGATTCGCCATCAATACTAGAATTGAACACCGTACTGTGCTTTATTGAGCCATTCAATTATTTTGTACAGGTTTTGTTCAAATTCACTGTTTCTCTGGTCAGACGATGCTTATTTGAAATCAAATTCAAATGTGTGCATTCACGATGAAACTAAATTGGAAATTTGTTGACGTTGAAAATACTTTTTTGATTGCAACGTATATGATTGGATGTGAACTTTGAATAGGAACGTTCAATTTCGAGCGTTGCTTTGTTGTTACTTGCGGTGAGAGCTAGTTGCACGAAAAGAAGAAAAGACCGGTTCTAGGTTGTTTCGATGATGATGATCACTCGTAGTTCGTTAATGCCAAATATTCATTACAATGACGTGTTTCGCTTCAAAGACGAACGAATCAATCGAATCCATTCAACACATCACCTATTGATTGTCATCGCAAAAACCATTCCACTCATCATTGCCACCTTTTGAAACTTTTCATTCACAGTTTTCCATTCGAATGTCAACCTTTTTGCATTGTCACTGATCAAATAATCTAAGGACATTTTCCACAACGTTCAATACTGTAAGAACGAAAGATGAAGAACTGAATATCGAACAAACTTTTGGACATAGCGATTAGTTATTTTCTAATTGCTAGAAATGAATCTGAATGAAATAAAAGTAATATTCTATTTAATATTTGTTTTGGTACGTTGTCATGGTGAGGAGGAAGAGCAGGTTATGCAACACGCGTAAATACGAGTGTTGTGTGTTAATATATTTTCATTGTGCTCAATGTGAGCAAAACTTTTTCCAAGATTTTTCATTTGAAGGTCAGTGTCTGTGTCATTGATTACTTCACATCTCTCTATTTTGTCTCATTCCCTCTCAAATGTGTCAGATATTACCGTTGCATTACGCGTCTACCTAGGTGCAACATTTCCTACTATGAATGCATCACTTAGCCACACATATTCGAGGCTAGAGACAATGGTCTTCGATAACAGTGAATGACACTGGTGTGAAAACTATAAGAAAAAGACTGCTTTATGATTTTGCTTGCCTTGAAGAGGTACGTTGGGTTTAAGATGTGCTATTCTAGCCTCGGAATATATAGGGTACAGTTCTGCTATCTGCTTCTACAAATTGAATAAACAGTCTTCCCCTCAAAATTCCTTTCCCAAAATGAACTGCTCTACATAAGTTGACAATAAGATACGATCTGTACCGAATCGGATTTGAATTTCTGCCACATCGACTCCACAGCATTAGTGAAGGCCTCGATTTACGGATCTGCAACATTTTTCGAATCCTTTACAATTTGCTGCTAGTAACTTTGCAGCATATTTTTGATACCGTCATACACTGACCATAGGTCGGACACAATAGTGGTGCCCGGTACAATTTTATCAGGCAGTAGGGTTTGTGCATTTTCTCTTTCCACGATACCATAAAACACCGATTTCTGTCACTCTTCCAGTGTTATATTTTCGACGAATCAGCGCTACCTCATCCATTTCAACTACACATCCAGGCCCACCATTACGCACTGGATATTCAGTGTAATACTGTGCTGCAACCAAATTCATCCGGTTGACCAATGTACCTAATTTCAAGTTGCTTCCGTCCCTTCACGATGAATATCAGAATAAGTATGCTGTTCCATGCACTAGTAAAATAATACTCTAAATGCAGCTAAATGAGCACCTTTCAAAATTGTACCGGCCAAATACCCCAGCCAATAGCTCATTTAACATCGACAAATCATACTTTTTCCATATTTCACTAGTTGCACACTACAGCCACACTCATAAGCTAAAACAGCATCAGCGCCATGCATCGAATCAATTTACGCAAACCATTGCTCGAATTCGTCATCTTTTATGAATTTTGAATTCAATTCATTAAAATTGAATTCAACTTCAATTTTGATTCAGTTTTGATAACATTATGAATTGTGAAGCCACGAAGCTTATCCATACCGTCAAATAAGGAACCGATTATTCTACACATTCTAATAGCCATAAATAGTGAGTTGTGAAAGGAGTCATCTCATTGTTGCGATCATAAGGCTAAGTATGTGCATTTAGAAATACGAGAAGCAACCCCAAGGTCAAAGTTGTCATGCGTGACCTTTCCAAGCATTGGATTTAAATGGATTATGTGATAATCCTCGAAATTCAGGTGAATAAAGCATTCTGAGCATTTATAATCTTGTTAACGGATTCATTACAATTCTGTTGCATTGTATAGTGTTCACACCGTCTCGAGTTTGTCGTGCTCTCTGCCTCTCCATTCCCTTCATTCAAAAAAAAAAAACCTCTCAACTGTCAGACGGATTTGATGAGCGATACACGCGACGTTTGTAATGAAAGCGGAGAGAAGAATTATTGAGAACGCCTTCTCTTTGGGAGTTGGAAAAAATTTTGCTCATTTTTTGCGTTCGGGTGGTGCCGATGAATTTCGGTCTCTGTTTTAGGAAAAAACTGATGTACACCCATTTGCCTCCTCTCAGAACAGAAACATTTCACGGGGTTGTACATATGCGTATAGATGTTCAAATTCAAAAAGAAACAGTGCGGATGAGCAAATTAAGTATGAGTTGTAATTTGGTCATGAGTAAGCTAGCAAGCACATGCATGACTCGAACGGCATATACGTTTGATTGTGTATGTACGTATAAATGAATATCTATCTGAATGTGTGCATACTTACAACATGCTTCGTATCTCATGTAAAATTTCATCAATTCATCTCCCTATATTTTGCCATTTCTATATCGATCTATCTAAACTCTCGCTGCAGTTGTTCGTTCTACGCTTCACAAAAATATGCTTTACATCAGTCACACATGAGCATTTCATGTATGTATTTTACGTATACCTAACTATATATTATGTGCAACAACATAATAGCGCAAGCATTCATATCCATTTTAAAAACTAACTTTTCATTTTTTACAGTGTAATCTTTACCTTGATCGTCATTTGACGTTATGTTGATCAATTTATCTTCGGCTGTATTAATTCAACTGAAAATCGTTTCGAATTTGGAGTTTCGCATTTTGTTTCACCAAAATGTATCATCATTCGACTGATATTACATATTATCCGATGATGTAAATTCGTATTCTTCATCAACGTTAAAAATATGAAAGCTTGACTTAAGCAGAAACCAAGATCACTTTTTGCACTGTTTCATTCTACAAAAGCGTCTATATCATTTATCATTTCATGTTGTTTTGTCGTTGTAACGGAAAGTTGAATGAACGTATAAACGAGTGTTGATGGTGAACGATTGAATTGATTACTGAAATAAAATGTGTTGAATTCAGTTTGACGTTAATACGTGAAGCAGATAGATGCGTTTATGATAAGATTGCATTTGCATTCAACAAAATCCAACGATCTGTCTAATTCATGTGTTTGAAATGGAGACTTGGACGGTACAACATGAATTTTAATGCTTGAATTTTACCCTTTTTTATGTTACTTTTTCATATTTGGGTTAATTTCATTCGATCATCACTTTCTTTATAACTTTTCGAACCCTACTGTGAATCCTACTGGCATGATTGGATCGTTCTTTACTATCTAGTCCTTTCGCATTATTTTTTCGTTTCGGTTCTACAGTATTCTCGTCATATATATATATATATATATA